TGAAATCCAGTTCAGGGTAACGCTGATGCCGGCTCCGGATCCAGGATGAAATCCAGCTCCGGCTTTGCCTCCCTCTGACTCCCGCTCCGCATCCAGCTCTGGTTCTGTCTCCAGCTCCACTTTCAAAGCTGGCTCCGGCTCCAGTATCAAATCCCGCAGGGCCCTCCCAGCCCCGTATGGAGCCCGCCGGGGTCCATACGGAGCCCCCAAGTACTGCTTGGGGCACTTAGGACCTGCTGAGGCGCAGAGGGGGCCCATGGCGGCCCCGCCAGGCCTATAGGGGCCACCCGGCCCCCTGTGGAGATGCCTCCTGAGCAGCTCTGCGAGCAGCACCCGTGGGCTCCATACAGGCCACGAGTGGCCCTCCGTGGTTCCRTGCGGGCCCAGGTGCTATGARGCTGGGCAGGCACTATGGGACTACRTGGTCCCCCATGGGTTCCATACTGRCCCGGGTGGGCTGTACAGGCCCCAAGCAGCCCGTGGATCAGTACAGGCCTGTGTGAGCCTTATGGGCCCCTTACAGGCCCCCTGCACCCCTGTCGGCTCCCTGTGAGACCAGGTGGGCGCTGCAGGCCCCGCTCGGCCTCCCACAGGCTCTGTACAGGCCAGGATAAGCTCTAGGGGCCCTGCACGGCTCTATGTGGCCCATGCGGGGGTCTGGGTGACTCTGACCTCCACCTCAGTAGATGTCTATTCCTTCTTTTAAAGTTGACAAAATGGATGTGATGAGAAATTCCAGCTACCTGGCTGTCTCTGCACTCCAGACCCAAACATGTTCCCACCAGACATCCGAGGTCTCGAGGGCAGGCACCTCACTCCCATTCCCAACTTTTCGTCTGCCCCAAAAGGATCCTGTGACAGCGTGGTTGCTTTGAGCACCTACTCCAGCAGACAGCTCTGAAGCCCAACCCATGGATCCTTCCTGTGCCTGGTAAACGGTGCACAGTTGGGGAAGGGAGGTGGCAGCTCCTGAGCAGCCCACACGCAGGTCAGTAACAGGCACCTCACCTTGCCGAGATACAGGACACAGCTGGGGCATCCTCAGACCAAGGTTTAATTCTGTTACAAATGAGCAGTTCTGTGCAGAGCAGCGTTGGGACTGATATTCACCTGCTTCAGAGCTTGGCCCAAACGGCTACACGCAGGGTGGCTCTGGGGACTTGCCTGTCACCAGGAGCTGGTGATAAACATGGTCCCAGGAGCCATGGTCCCTCCTGGGACAGCGAGAGCTGTTGTGGGTGCAGATTCTCCCAGCAATGTGACCAAGCTGGGGAGCAAGCGCGACCGCAGGGACCAGGACGTGCTGGTGAGCACTCTTAAGGGACTGATACCACAGAGCTGAGGCCAAATTAAGCCTCCCCGTGTATCAGCACTTCCAAGGGGCAGGAGGCAACGTCAAGTCAAGGCACTGAGGAGCTGGAATGTGTTGCTAGCTCACTGCCCCTTTCCCTGAGAGGATGGCAGGCCGCAGCTCCATCAGTGTCCGGSGGGGCAGCGCCAGCCCTGCTCAGCACCCTGTAGCCAAGGTCCAGGAGCCCAGTCCTAAGCTGGGCTCAGAATCCATCTCCCATCACTTACGGCGCTTTTTCTTCTGCTCTTTGCGTTTCTGAGCCCTCACATCCTTCTTCAGGCGGCTGTCAACCACCTTGAACTGGCCCTTGACCCCAGGGGGGCGGCGCACGCGTCGTCCTACGCCCTTCTTGGCCACCAAGTAAGTGACCTGCCGTTTCTCCTTGCCTAGACCAGCCTTCTTGTAGATGCTGCAGGAAGAGGGGGAAAAGTGAGACCCAAACGCCCAGGCTATCCACACTCAGCAGAATTGCCCTAAGAGCTTCACATCAGGCCCACACGGGGTCCCAGGCTCCACAGGGCAGCTGTGCCCCAAGACGGGGCTCGCCAGGACTAGCAGGCAGCTCCTGCTTGCTCTCCTGCTGTTCTTCTGCTTCCTCCATCTCCCCAACCCTCATCCTACCCCCAGATCCAGCCCAGCTCTTGCTAGTCCTGCTGGGTTACACCCAGGAGCTGCTCCCAAGCTGTGGCCACAGGGACAGGATGCTGCCATCCACCCCAGTGCAACCCAAAGCACCCAGATCCTGGCTCCACCACTCACCGCCGCAGCTGGGCCACTTTCTCCCGCTCCGAGATATCCACCGTGCTCACCACGGCCTCTGCTTTCTTCTTCATCTGCTCCATCTTCTTCAGCATCTGTAGGGAGAACAAAGGTCAGMGGCAAAGGAAATTGGAGGGACAGAGCAGCGGGGATGTGGGGGATGGAGTCCAGGCCCACAGCCCCACTCACCCGCCGCTTCTTGCGGGCTTTGGCCTCTGCTACTTTCTTGATGGGCCGGGCGTTGATTTGGCGCCAGCGCTGCCGATACTCCTCCACYGTCTGCCGGTCTATGGGGATCTGCTTGCGCCGGTGCTGCTTCTCCTCCTCTGTGAACCACTCAGGCAGCTCCCCCTCATCCTCATTGAAAGAGTATCTGGGGGCCAAATGGAGAGGCTGCGAGTGGGGCACAGGGTCCCCTGCCAGCCATCCCCATGCTACTCCCCTTCCAGCAACCACAGCTGTGAGTACCTGTTGAAGGAGTTGTCGATCAGGTCCCGTTTGGCCTTTTTTGAGGTGGCGATGACCGAGCCAAGCGCCAGGCCCTCTGCGTCCAGCACACGGGCTCTCTTCACTGTGACACACGGGTGCGTTAAAGCTTGTCCTGGGAGTGGCCTCAGGCCCAGAGGGCCAGGAGCCACTTGCCTTCCCCCAGGCCAGACGCACAGAGGCTGTCCTGCCTTCTGTCCCCAAAGAGGGGCTCAGGGTGTCACCTGGCATACATTGGTCCCGACTGCAGCCCCACTCACCTGGGTCCTCAATGGGCACTACTTCAAAGCCATCAGACTCATTCCGGGCTCGCTTCTTCCTCACTGCTGTCAGTGGCCTGTGGGGAGACAAGCTGTCAACACTGGARTGGGTGCAGGTTGGGGTCCCCGTGTTTCCCCTCTCCCGGCCTGCAGAACAGCACAGAGCGCCCAGATTGCCCCGCTGCCACCCCTCACCTCTCATCATCGCTGCTGCTGTCATCGTCACTGCTCTCCTCATCCTGCACTTCACCCGTGTCTGCTCTCGCATCCACTGCACTCTCAGTCTCAGTCACAGCTTCCTCCAGAGGAACCTTCTTCTGCCCTTTTCCCTTCACCTTGTCTACAGCACAGGAGCCAGTGAGTGAGAGCAGGTGGAGGTAAATCCCACGTCAGAATTTAACCCCTTTCTCCAGAGACAGGGCTCATTAATGGTACATTAATGCAGCTTTTTTTTAACTGTATGGTGTTATAGACTGGAAAGGATCTCCAGAGATCTCCAGCTCCAAAACAACTGCCCATCAACTCGCCAAAGAGTACCCCTGGAATGTACTCCTCACACCCACCTGAACGAGACTCCTGCTGTCTCTCAGCCAGCATCCGTGACTGTCCCAGCTCCAGGTCCTCATCTGCATCATCCTCGATGCCAGCAAAGGCATCCTGAGAATGGAGAACGCCAAGTCAGGGGATATAAGGCAGAGCTGGGGAGGAGACGTTGAGGCTGGGATTGTCCCATCGGTTCTTGGCCATGGAGACTCACCTTCCCAAACCACAAACTAGTCTGCCGTTCCTCCAGTACCGACTTCTCCTCCAGGGGTACCAGAAGTGGATTTTCCTCTTCCTCTTCCGCCTCCTCTTCCTCTTCAAAAGTCACCCTGTGAAAGACAGCAGCAGGCTCAGCGCACACAGCTAGGACAGGGTATTCCTCTCTTTCCCTCAAGTCCACCGACCTGCTCCAAGGTGAACCTTTGCCCCCAGAAGAGCCTCTCAAGGTTCTCACCTCTTTGCACCCTTTTCTCGCCTTTCCCGCTCCAGCTTCCGCTGACGTGCCTCTATTTCCACCAGCTCCTCTGGGTCCAGATCGCTGGCCAGGGATGCATCATCCGCTTCGTCCCCATCTGACAGACAAATGTCATCATCYGCAGGCCCCATCTCCAGGAGGGCGTCTGCTGAGGCCATGTCCCCCCGCACCACCTCATTCAGCAGCTGCAATAGGACAGAAACTGCAGTCGTGAGCAGAAGTCCACCTCCTACCTGCCAGCCAACATCCCAGTCYGGGCAGAGGCTCTCGGAACCCTCCCACTGTCCCGTACCTGGGTCTTGTGGATAGTCTGGAGGGAGAACATGCTATTGTCGCCCCCATCAGCAATGGAGACGCCAGGGAGGTCCATCTTCAGCTCAACCCGCTCGCGCTGCTTCCGCTGCTCTTTCAGGATCTTCTTCTTTTTCCTGGAAGAAAACATGAAGAAATGAGGTCACACTGGTCCCCGTGTCTCTGTGTCTCAGTCCACTGCCATGTTGCTGCCAGCCCAAAGAGTCCAAGAGCACCATCATGCCACCATGAGGGGTCCCCAACCTAGGAGCAAAGACAGCCCACAACAGCTGGCAACACCTGTCTGGAGGAGCCGATGGTCCTGAGGATCCCAGACTCACAACCAACACCTCCTCTTAGCAGGGGACAGGCCCTGACAGTACCACCTRATCCCCACACCTGGATGCCTGCTATGCCATGTCAACATGATCCTCCCCTAGCTCTCCTCATTTGAGTTGTTTTCACCTCTTTAGCTCTGCCAGCTCCTTTGCTTTCATCTCTGCCAATGCCAATTCAACCTCCTCTTCTTCTTTTGACACCTCATCAGCTGTGGCTTTTGGTGATGTCTTCTCTTCTTCCYGGCCTTCTTCCTCTTCACCGGAGCTCAAGCTGCCAAAGAGAATCAACTCAGAGCATCTCTTCTGGTGACAGCCTCAGTCAACTACTTCACTGCCTTGGGACAGCCCTGGTTTCTCCTACCTGATATCCAGCTCCTTTGCCTGCTCTTTCAGCTTTTTAGCCAGGAAACGTCGCAGTTTTGTCCTCCAGTTCAGCAGGGCTCTGTGCAGGGAGGCAGCCGGTTTGAGACACCCGCCTAAGCCCAGTGRGACTCCCTGTCCCAGTTCCAGTGTCCCCAGTACCTGAGCTCCTTGCGCCCCAGCACGCGGATGTCCTTGCAGCACTGCCGCAACTCCTCCGTGGTGGCACTGTGATTCTCCAGCTCTCCATTCCCTAGGGTGATCTGAGTGCAGCAGAGAAAAAGAGCTGCTATTCCCAAGCCCCTGTCCTGCCTCTCCTCCCTCTGCGGGACCAGGCTCTGTGGCCACTGAAGTTCCTCTGGCCTCACCCACCTCGTTGGCCTTGGAGAGGAAATCCACAGGGTTGGGAGCCTTGAGGAAGTCCATGAGGGTGAAGCGGCGGTACAAGGTCGTGTCACCATCTGCGTAGCCTTCTGCCTGTAAGAGAAAGGAACCTTAGGAGCCAGGCAGCATCAACTAGCCCTAGGTTTAACTAGAAGTTAAACCATTTCACATGAACTGTATCTAGCTGCAGCATCAGCCTAAATATGCCCAAGAGACATGGAGAGAAGAGCAGGATACTGGCCTCTCAAACTCAGTGAGGAACAGGCCCAGCTCTAGGCGGTCTCCTCCAGCCTCAACCTAACCTGAGATGCAGGAAGAGGATGGCAATACAAACCTGCAAAGCTCTGCTCCAAAATAAAGCTATTTCACGTAGCCATTGATGTCCTGAGCCCAAACACGTTTCACAGAGACATCATAGGGAAGGWTGCAGCACTGATCTACTCCTCCAGCTTCATGACTCTGTCTAACTGCAAGTGCTTTCTCTGCTCATCTGTCCCACAAAAGAGTTGAAACTGGGACGGAGGGAAAAGGGCCCCACAGAGCCAGGCCACAGCTATTCCCTGGAATCAGCTCTTTGCAGATGAACACTAGTCCACTTCAGGGACGTGCCATCCTCATACCTTTGGCTTCTTCTTGCTGATCAGCTCGCTCACGGACTTGGTCTGAACTTCCACCTCCTTGAAGGCGTATTTTGGATCAAAGAACTTGCTGTCAATTTTATCTGGAGCCTGATAACCTGTAATGAGAGAATCAGAGATTTCAGTAGTTTTCTCCTTGCCCTATCCCAGTGSCCCAAGCTGCCAGGGGCTGCAAGTCTCCCTGGCCACTCACCCTGGCAGACCACGAAGATCTCAGCGGACTCGTTGCGCGAGGCTTGGGGCTTGGTGGCCTGGACCTTACGGAAGAACTGCTGGAAGATCCAGAGCAGCGGCTGGTAGTCCCGGGAGCGAAAAACCTTGGTGATGAACCAGCCTCCTTTGCAGAGGAATTCACAGGCGAGTTTTAGGGCCATGAGAGTCAAGTTGGCTGAAGCGGGAGAAAGCAGCAGTCAAGCCAGTTGTCAGCTCTCCGTCACCTGGTTCCCTGTCCCACAACACATGTCCCCATCCACAAGGTCCTGCTGCAGCACGAAACAGAGCCGGCTTTGCCAGCCCCTGCAACGGCCCCAGGTCCCACGCCAGCCCTGAGAGCCCTACCTTGGGAGTAAGCATCGTGCACCCAGCTGGCACCCACATTGGGTGCTCCGTCGTTGAGCACCACGTCCACCTTCCATGTCTGCAGCTCCTTGCGCAGGGCCTGGGGGCCAGAGGCACACGTTAGACCTGCTAACACACACTGCTTTGCCTCTCCTGCCCCACAACGTCCATGTTTCCATGAGCCTGATAGCCTAGGCACTCAATTCAGTCACCTCTTCTGATCTTACCCACAAAACAATGCCTAATGAAAAGGGCTGCGTGACCTCCCAGCCTGGACAGACCTACTGAGTCCTGTAYCAACACACAACACTTGGCAGTGAAGTTCTACCTGGCGGCATTTCTCAGTTGTGATGTCCTCTTGCAGCGTGACCACATTGGGAATGGGTTTAATAGGAACCAAATCCACTCCTGGTAAAAGAAAGAGATGTCACTGCTGCAATTTCTTCCTCCAATCCAGTCTGCATTTGCAGCTCATTCCCTCCCTGTACCAGGGCACCCAAAGCACCCTTGGTCACAGGCAAGGACTGCAGTGGATGCCTCAGTCTCCCCTGGGACACCCCTACCCACCCCTGCTCCAGCTCAGCGCAGAGTCCCACCACTCACCAATGATCAAGCTGGAAACAGGCATGAATTTGGAAGCCACCTGTAACCTGTGGAGAGCAGAGAGGGTCTAAGCCAGAGCAGGATCCCACGAGATCCCCTAGCTGGGGTGCCTGCACCTTGGGGATCTCGGACGGTAGCCAAGGGAGCGAGTTCCCTTGTGCTCTGGCCCATCCGGGTCCACGGGACGGCAGGTGGGGACACCTCCGGTGACCCCAACGCCACTCACCACCCGCCGGGGGCCGCGCACAGGTCCAGCAGCGCCCGGGCCTTCTGCAGGAACTGGAACTTCCTATTGAGCTGCAGGAGCTTGAAGGAGGAGCGGGAGCGGAAGCCTGCGGGGGGGTGGGAGAGTGAGGGGCYGCAGATCACGGGGGCCGTGGCGGGGCTCCCGCCGCCACCCGCGGCGCCGCTCACCCGTCTCCTTGGCCAGGTGGTAGAACTTGTCCCGCCGGCTCTTGCCCACTTTGCTCTTCTTGCCCATGGCGGCGGCAGGCCGGGGAGCTGCGCTCAGATCCGCACCGGCACCTGCGGGGCGCGGGGCACASGGCTGAGCCGGGGCCTCCCCGTCACCGCCGGTGTCCCCCGGGCCCGGWGTCCTCCAAGGCCCGGGCCCCGCGGCCCCGAGTGGTCCCCAGCCCAGACCCCATCCCTAGGCCCTACCCTTACCCTAAACCTGGCCCTGGCCCTGGTCCCGGCCCCTCGACCGCCCCGCTGTCCCCGCGGTCCCCGCTCACCGTCGAGCACCCGCGTGCGCGCCCCACTGCTCCGGGCTGCCGTCCGCGAGGCGCCTCACTTCCGCTTCCGATTGTCCTTAGCCACCATCTTGGGAGGGTCCTCTCSTTGATAGCTCCCCGGGTTGGGCGATAAGGCGAGCCATTCGAGTGCCGGGAAAGGAGAAAAGGGGAGGTGCATCTCTTATAAGGTGCATCTTCAACCTGCTCCCAGCTCACTATCGTTTTGTGACACTGATAAGCAGCATTTGACCTTACCAAGATGGCGGCAAAAGCGTACTCYACGTAAAGAAGCCCTCTCTGCGCAGGCGCGCTCATGCAGCTAGCGCTCCACTGCGCACGCGCCCTCCCATCTTCCAGACGTTTGTTTGTTTGGGTGCTCCTGTGGGAGGGCGGAAGTGACGCCACACGCTGCGCGCGGCGGGGGTGGGGGGGACGGTGTGCAGCGGAAGGGACGCCGCGGCCATCTTTAGTGCAGGCAGCGTCGGCGGCGCCGGTGCCCGATGCCGGCGGAGAAGATGGCGGTGGACGGGCCCGAGCAGGCGAGGCCGCGGTGGGGGCTGTGGAGGGGCCGTCGGCGGCCGCGCCGGGCCCGGCTGTGCCGCGCGGGGAGCGGGACGGGGCCTGCGGCCTGGCGGGCGCCGTGACTCGGCGGGTCTCGCCCCAGCCTTGGGGCGGGAGGCAGCGGCCCCCGGGCAGCGACCGGGGCCGGGGGCCGCGGARGAGCGAGCGGCGCCCGCAGCCACGGAGCGGCCCCCGGGCTGCTGAGGGAGGAGGCCTCGTGGGGCCCGTCCCGCTGAGTGCGCTTCTCCGGCAGATGGAGATGGACGAGGGCAAGGGCGGCTCGGGGCTGCGGCAGTACTACCTGTCCAAGATCGAGGAGCTGCAGGTGAGGCGGCCCGGCCGGGCTGCAGCCCCTCGCGGCGTCCCCGCGGCCCTTCGTTTTGCCCTCCCCACGGGCACCCGGCCTGGGGCTCTGCCCTCCCCGCCATTGCTGCCGCGCTCTGGGCACGCGGCGTCGCCGGCTCCCCGGCACCGCGGCCTCTTTGGAGGCCCTGACCCGGGCTGGAGGCTGCTCCCTGCTCTCAGGTGCACAGGCCCCGAATGCTGCGTGCGGTGCTGAAACCTCAGCCGGGCTCTTCTTTCCCTTCTTTTGTAGCTCATCGTGAACGAGAAGAGCCAGAACCTGCGGCGCCTGCAAGCTCAGAGGAATGAGCTGAACGCCAAAGGTAGAGCCCTTCTCTCGCCCTCCCACCTGATCTGCAGCCGTGCGGTCTCTCCTCGCTGCGGGACTACGTGTGGGACTAGACTAGCACATCTAGTGCTGCTCCTGGGAGGCCCCAGCTCATGCTGAGGGGGTGGTTTGCTCTGAGTTCCATCTTCTAGGTGTTTTGCTCCTCTGTTTTCCCTTTTATGGTTGCCCTTGTAGTTAGAGGAAGGTGGGCACTTGTTGGGTCTGCCCTACCCCATGTCTGCTCTGGTCYCAGGGTGTCCCAAAGGGCGCTCTAGGGTGTGTGCCTCCCCTCTGTGAGGGATAGGGTGCCCTCCCTGTGCTGGGAGCCCGTGGCTGGGCCGAAGGGCCGTGCCGATGCCTCCCTCCCCGTTCACAGTGCGCCTGCTGCGGGAGGAGCTGCAGCTGCTGCAGGAGCAGGGCTCCTACGTGGGCGAGGTGGTGAGAGCCATGGACAAGAAGAAAGTCCTCGTCAAGGTAGGGAGCTGAGGCTGTTTGGTGGCGGTTGAACCAGCTCTGAGGAGCCGCTGGGGGTACTAAATGCGTGATGTGTCCCATAAATGACTCGTGGTGGCAACTGCTGCGTTCCAGGTGCACCCAGAAGGGAAGTTTGTGGTGGATGTTGACAAGAACATCGACATTAATGACGTGAGTGTGTCCTGGGGGTGATGACTCCTGCTGGGGTGGCCTGGTGTTTCTTGCTGTGTTCCCCCAGCGTGGGGTGGCTCGGGAGGGCCGTGTCCGGGCCAGGCACCAATGTCCCCTCTGGCCTCGGTGCAGGTGACGCCTAACTGCCGCGTGGCCCTGCGCAACGACAGCTACACCCTGCACAAGATCCTGCCCAACAAAGTGGACCCTCTTGTGTCCCTCATGATGGTGGAGAAGGTGCCCGATTCCACTTACGAGATGATCGGAGGGTTGGACAAGCAGATAAAGGAGATCAAGGAAGTGATCGAGCTGCCCGTCAAACACCCYGAGCTCTTTGAGGCCCTGGGAATTGCCCAGCCCAAGGTAAGTGCCGCACGTGGGGGCCCGGGCAATTCCCGTGGGGGGGACGAGCGCCCGAGGTGATGGCCTGGCCCCTTGCAGGGCGTGCTGCTCTACGGCCCCCCCGGTACAGGCAAGACCCTGCTGGCCAGGGCTGTGGCCCATCACACCGACTGCACCTTCATCCGCGTGTCGGGCTCCGAGCTGGTGCAGAAGTTYATTGGCGAAGGTAATCGCGCGTGGGGAGGCCGTTCACGCAGCGACGGCGGCTTGGGCCCCGCAGAGAGCTCTGAGGGTGCTGGGGGGCCTCCAGGCCGGGCTCACGGGGCCCCAATGTCACCTGCGTGGTGTCCTTGGAGCACCCGCCCTGGCGCCTGCGCGGGCTCAGCCCTCCCTGCGCCCCGCAGGTGCCCGCATGGTGCGGGAGCTYTTCGTGATGGCGCGGGAACACGCGCCCTCCATCATCTTCATGGACGAGATCGACTCCATCGGCTCGTCCCGCTTGGAGGGCGGCTCCGGCGGGGACAGCGAGGTGCAGCGCACCATGCTGGAGCTCCTCAACCAGCTCGACGGCTTCGAAGCCACCAAGAATATCAAGGTACAGGGGCTGCCCCGTTGGGCGCTGAGCTGCCTGGGGAAAGGGACACTATCCAGCTGGCACCAAGGTGGCCCAGCATGGTGACAGCTGCCACCTTCCCGTGCAGGTGATCATGGCCACAAACAGGATCGATATCCTGGACTCGGCTCTGCTGCGCCCAGGCCGCATCGACAGGAAGATYGAGTTCCCCCCTCCCAACGAGGAGGTAGGTGGCATGTCCCAGGGCAGCGTCCCCTCTTGTCGCCGCTGCGCGGGAGCACCCACCAACCCYTGTCCTGCTGCCGCCGTCCTTGCAGGCCCGCTTGGACATCCTCAAGATCCACTCTCGGAAGATGAACCTGACCCGAGGCATCAACTTGCGCAAGATCGCGGAGCTGATGCCGGGGGCGTCGGGGGCGGAGGTGAAGGTGAGGCGGGCGCCGCGGGCCGGGCGGCTGCGGGGGCGCTTGGCCGGTGCCCCCCAGCCCTGGTTGGGGTGCGGGAGCCGCCTGGCAGAGCACGAGCTGCCCCTTCCCTCGCAGGGGGTGTGCACGGAGGCCGGCATGTACGCGCTGAGGGAGAGGCGGGTGCATGTGACGCAGGAAGACTTYGAAATGGCTGTTGCCAAGGTAAGAGCTGGGCCATCTGTCCTCTGGGGTGGCATCTGCTCCTCTTGCTTTGCCCTTCAGCTACCTCTAGAGCACCCAAGCAAGCGAGGGGTTGCCCCGGGCAGGGCTTGTCCCTGCCTATAGGGTTAWGTTGGGAGTAGATGCCAAGATGGGCCTGAGGTGACCCCAGAGTGGGGGYAGCTGGGGCTGGTGGCTCAAGAACTGGCCCCTTGGAGGCTGCAGCTCCTTGGTTGGCGGCACCCTGGGGGTGGGAGCAGGGTTGGGGACAGAGTTGGAGCCACCCCTCTCCTCCCGGCACAGGTGATGCAGAAGGACAGCGAGAAGAACATGTCCATCAAGAAGTTGTGGAAGTAACRGCAAGGCTGGGGCCGCCCCTCCCTTCCTGTTGGCTAATAAAGTGCTGCTGCAGCCAGGTCTGGGTGCTGATTTGGGGCCAAGGTGGGAGGAAGGAGGAGATTGAGGCAGCTCCACCCCAAGAGAGACCCCTTGCAGACACAACAAGCACCTGCTGCTAACTGTTTTTATTAGAAAATATCCAAAATAGACAAAACGGTTACACAAGAGGCAGAGCAGAACCCCTGAGCCGTCCAGCCTGGGACTGTAAATGCCCCCCCGTCTGCCCGCGCCGAGGCCGAGGGCAGCGGGGCCGCAGTGGGGAAGGCACTTGAGCGGGGCCCGCGGCTGCTGCCCCCGCCCGGCCCCTGCGCTGCCCCCAGSAGCTCCAGTTATCAAAGCCCCAGGCCCCAGTGACCTCCAGCCCTCAACAAGCCCTGCCTTGCCCACAGACTCCTTGYGGCAGAGCTGCCCCTCTGCCCTGTGCACCTGGGGTGGAGCACGGGGGAACTCGCTACACCTGTGAAAGAGCAGGGGGCCAAGAGTCAACTGATTGTCAAGAACTCAAGACTAAAAACTTGGTTACATATATATATATAAAAAAAAAAAAAAGAACAGCTTAGGCCGAGCCAGCCCTTGAGAACACCATGAATCCACTGCATAGATTGAGGCAATGAGTGCACTAAGTGGAACTCAATATATTAATCAAATACAAACCCACTGTACAAAAAGCTTCCTTTTTTTTTCTTTTTTTTTTCTTCTCTTATAAAACCTGTTCACAAAAATAGTGCAAAACATCGGGTACCAGCAGGGCTGGCGTTTGGAATGGACAAACTTTGGTTGAAGAGGAGGGCCGGGGAGGGGGGCGGCAGGGCAGGCGGCGCCTCCCGCTCCAGCCCCTCTCCCTGCTGGGTGATTCCAGGAGGGCTTTGGCCAGAGCCAGGCAGAGCAGGGGAGCGCGGCAGGGGCTGCAGTCGGTGCTCGGGGGGAGGCAGAAGCGGCGCGATGCAAGAACAGAAGGTGTTAGCGCAAGAGAAGGGGCTGGGGGGGAGCGGGGGGCCCTCCCTGCTCTGCTCGAGCTTCCTGGCCGAGGGGAGCCCAGGGGTGCTAGTGGCTCCGGCTCCCTGCAGGCACGTAGGCTTTGTGCAAGTGCTGTATTTGATTCCAGTAAGAAGCAGCCTGGGGCTCAGGCAGCTGCGAGAGGAGAGAGCAGCTCCCGAGCCCGCCCTTAGGTGAGGCGGATCCCGAGCACTTGTTCCAGTTCCTGCCGGCGCTGCTGGACCTGGGGGACAGGAAGGGGGTGTGAGGCAGGGAGGGGGACGCGGTGCCGGCACCCGCTCCCAGAGTGGCAGCGTGTTCCTGGCGAGCAGTTCCACCCCTTCAGGAAGGTACCGATAGCAGTTTGATCTTGTGTCCAACCTYCCCTTGTGATGGTCCCCCCTTTGTCCCCAGCTGAGTTTTCCAATCTCAAACGCACAAGGACAGCAGGAAGCTTCAAGCTCCCCCTTGGAGGAGCTCTGGGGACACAGTGGAGGAGGCCAGGGCTGGGGGACAGGGGACACCAGGGCAAGGGCAGCCCGAGCCCGCTGCGAGGAGCCCACCTTGGCGAAGATGTGTCTCCCCACAGCCTCTTGCGCCCAGGGCTGCTGRTAGAACTCGGCTCGTCTCTCCTCCTCGGGGTTCCCGATGACGTCCGTTATGATCTGAGCAAAGCAGGGGGCACAACGGGGTGAGCACCAGGGCCGCTGCCCTCCCAGCTGCATCGCGCAGSCCCTGCTAGAGCCCAGCACTGTCCCTGCACGGGGGACAAGCGGCTCTGCTCTAGGGCCCTGCTCCTCTCCAGCGCCAGCGTTTTACCTTGAGGTCCCTCCTCTGGGACTTGATCCATTCCTGGATGAATTCCTGGGGGTTGTTGCTGAAGCTCAGCATGAAATCACGCTGCGTCTTCAGCTGGTTGATGGACTCGATGGTCTCATGGATCTAGGGAGGTGACAGGAGGTGAGGGGATGTTGGGGAGGTTGCTGAGAAGTAGCTAAATTTGAGCAAAGTGCCCCAAAACGCAGCTGACACCGAGCTGCTCCCAAGCTCCATGCAGCCCTGAGGCCAGTTTAACCGCAGGAATCCCAGCGCTGYGCCTGGACCCCGTGTGTGTCCCCGCACCTTGGCATCCAGGGAGGCAATCTCCTGCTGGTTGGTGGTGGAAGCCAGGAAGTTGCTCATCTGCGCTTTGAGGGGGTCGTCCACCTCCACATCGATGTCATAGCAGGCYGTCTTCTTCTGGTCATTGGGGTCCACGCTGGGAGGAGACAGGGTGTGAGGGGAAGACTTCCCCAGCCTCCTCCCTCCCCAGAGGAGGGAATATAACCCCCTCCACACAGCAATACAAGACCCCAACACCACCCAGCCCCACCTGATTGCCCCCCAAAGCCCCCCAACCCCATCTCTTCTASACGACTAGTGCTCAAGGCTGCTTTGGGCTTGAGGCCTCATACAACCTGTGAGTATTGCCCACAGCCCCAGTGCCACCGCATGGGACAGTCCACCTGGGGGTGACAGAGACCACCAAACCCCTGGGAATCCTGCYCAGCACTGCCTCGTGTCCCTACCTGATGGTGTGGTTGATGATGATGGGATCTGGGTGCTGCAGGAGTCCTGCCAGCTTCATGGGGATCTCCGAGAAGCGCATGCGGATGCAGTTGAAGATCTGCGGGCCCAACAGAGCGCCTGTTATCCCTTCAGCCACCCCGGGGAACCCACTGGGGCACCCGCTGGCACCTTCAGCCCGCTGGGGGAAGGGCCAGGCAGGAGAGGGAGAACTCGTCCAAGCCCAGTTTGGGCACCRCGGCTTGTGGATGCAAGCCGGGGCCCAGGGAAGCGCGGCCTAAACTGCAGAGAGTGGCCTGGGATGCCCGTCTCAAGGTAAGGAAGAGCCCAAATACATCTTGGAAGTCCAGACCAAGTCTGCGAGGGAGCTGATGAGCAAGAAGCAGCCAAAGCGGCCGGGAGGGCACAGGCAGGAGGGTCTCTGACCTGGCGGAAGTAGCGGTTGCAGTTGATGTACTCCTTCTCGTGACTGTCCTGCAGCTTGTTGTGCTTGATGTAGAGCCAGAGCGCCTGCATGATGCTGGCGCGGGTCTGGGTGTGCACCCCGAGCAGGCGAGCCAGCCGCGGGTCCAGTTTGTACTGTGGGGGCTGCGGGGACACGGGCACGTCGGCATTAAGGGCACGGGGGGCCTCGAGGGATTCATTCTGCCCCCCACAGCCCTGGTCTTGCACAAGGGCAGCAGGGCACAAGCAGCACCCGCGCGGTCCCACCTGGTGATCCAGCATGAGCAGCAGGGTGCATTTCACATTGACGTCRCCAGGACGCTTCACTTGGAAGCCGTCGGTCTCCTGCGTCGTGGGCAGCCGGTGCCACTGCCAGAAACCAGGGGACAGTGCTCAGCTCCAGGCCCACAAGGTGCCTGAAACGCCCCCCACACCAGCGTGCGCAGGGGCCCAGCACCCACAGGGCAACAGCAGCGCCCACGGGGTGCACCCTACCTCCACCAGGTGGTTGTCCGGCCCATACAGCTCTTTGTCCAGCTCGATGACGAGGCTCTTGAAAAAGGAAGAGAACTTCCTCTTCTGCTTGCTGGGCTGCAAGAGAGAGCGCGAGAGGCCGCGTCGGACACTGCCAGACATGCAGGACACCCGCCGAGGGCATTGGGGAGCCCAGGGGGCTGSAGCGATCCCAGACGGGCTCTCACAAATGAGCAGAGACTGGTTTGTGACTCTGGCCAGACTCTGCCCCCCATCCCAAGGCAGGTCCTTACATCCTCCAGCAGTTTGCCTTCCACACGCAGCTCCCACGAGGCCACGCGCTCACCGCCCTCCCCTTCTTCTTTGGCCGGGGTGAAGGTATTGGAGATGTAAATCCTCAGCTTCCGCTTTTGCTGTGGAACAGAGCGAAAGGCAAAGGGATGCTCGGAGTGAGGGGAGAGCCCCCGGAGCAGCACCCACCTCGCCGGGCCCCTCGCCACCTACCGTCAGCGGCTTCTTAATGGCCTCCTGAATCTCCATCCTCTTCCGAGCGATGGTTTGGTCCAGTTTGCGCTCAAAGGCGAGGAGGTCCATGTAAGCCTGGGATTCTGGGACCAGCTCCCGGATCTGTCAAATGGAGATGGTCACTCTCTCACGTGCTGGGATCACCATGAGCATCCCCCCTCTGCAAAGCCTTCCACAAACCAGGGAGCTGCCCTGTGGAGCAGAGYTTGGAGCCTGCTGCTGTGTCCACAGCGTGCACAGTGGCACAGATGGATCAAAGTATCCCTAGGGTGCCCAAGAGGGACCCCAGGGCCCCAGAAGAGCTCAGGAGCTACCTGGGCTCTGCACTCCAAGGCATTGCTGATATTTGTCCATCCAAAGTCCTGCTTGCCCAACCTGTGCACACTCGGAACCTCTCCTGCTAGCCCAGGTCCTCCCACAGGGCCCAGCAGATACAGCAAAAATCTTCCAGGTCAGTTTGGGACAAACAGTTGGGACAGTCTGGCACAAACCTGTGCAGACCTTGCTCAAAACCAGTGAGATCTTGCACAAGCAGGGCTCCTGCCTTGCCGGGGCATGGGGGGACACGACGCAGAGGCACCACCTCCTTCCAGCAGCTCAGTTCCCTGCCACCCAGCCTGCCCACGCAGCACTCACCCTCTGGGGCAGGACCTTGTCAGCCATCTTCCTCCTCTTCACCCTGCAAGAAACACGGAGGCGCTGGAAAACAACCAACCAGAGCAACCAAAATCCAAGGAGCAGAAGCCCTCTGCACATGGGACACTGTGCGCCAGGTGGGAAGCAGCTGCACAGGCCAGGTTGGAGGAGCAGCCTCCTGGCTGCACCCGCAGCATGGACAGGGCCAGGCTCTAGGCCAGGGAGCCCTCTTGCAATGCCAGTGATTTGAGGAGTGCCCTTCCCGAGCCTCCCTGCGTGCTCTGGGAGCAAAGAAAGGCTGTGAGAGCCTCCAGCACCCAAGTCCTCGGGTCAGAGCTCGAAGGCAAACTAAGGGAGGACAAGAACCCTGGGCAAGCCAAGGAGGGACGTGCAGAGCCCCGGGGAGCTGCAGCCTTGCTCAGAGCCCTTCAGCTCCCGCTGGGCTTGCAGCTTGCCGTGGCACCACGCTCTGCACCCCGGTYGCCTCCTGCGAGGGAGAGGAACGGCTGCCAACTTCACCCGCGCTCCTCAGAGCCGGCAGAAGGGGAAAGAGGCCGGAGTTTGGAAGCGCAAACATACACGGGGGGACTCTGCAC